TTTTGTCCATATTATGCATCCATTCCTTTCAGAGTGCTATTCCTTGTTGATTTGCTTGTTTCCACGATACTCCGACAGCCAAACTTAGAGAAACAGATTATGCGTAGATACAGAGTCTGCTATGAATTTATAGTTCTAGAAATACAATAGATTGCAAACAGATTCTGTAATATCTGATAATGTCAGCAAATTGCTGTTAGAAACCTAACAGAACCTATTGACATTCTGTGCCAGTAGACTGACAGCTGAAATCGAATAGATTTTGCTGCAGTCAGATTAGCAACAGAAAACAAGCAAGATCTGTATCACAATTTGATGGCAAACTGACAGCAGGATTTGCTTGATTTCTGCTGCCAGTCTGTTGGCACAGAATGTCAACAGAATACAAGCAGAATGAGGCCTCAAATGAGGTCAGTTTGTTAACATTTTCTGATCAAATCTGATGCCAGTCTGCCGACATTCTGCTAACATTTTGCTGACTGGGTAAATGTGGAAACCGCTGAAACTGAATTAATCTTTTTCAGAGATACGATAGAAATCCGTCATAATTTAAAACATCTGTAGTGGATTTCGTCGGCCGAGAATGATAAGAGATCATTAATATCTTTAATGATAAAAATATCGATGTTTCTTCAACTTATAAATAATATCGCTCATGATATATACAAATAGCAAAATGATTTGTAAACGATTTTAATTGTAAGAGAAATTGTGTTTCATCACATAATTACTATAGTGCTTTCATCACTATAATTTATATATATTGTTAACATAGTATATGATGGCATGAATCAATTGTTGGTAATATTATTATTGCCACATTGTTCTCTTATTATTGCAATAAGTTAATAATATAATATCTTAATGTCCTTCTTTATTTACACATCAATATTAAAAACAGTGATTTATTATTGAAATAATAATTGAAAATAATTAATGAAAATTCAGACAATATAAATACATTTTATAGAAATACATTATTTTGCATATTTTAATGTTAGAGAAAAATATATGTACAGGATATTGCATCAACATATTAAGCAGTACGTCGGATTGCATGACAGATTATGTAGGGGCAGGCGCAGTTCAATAGGTAATGACAGCATATACATGTACCATCATAACTTATCGAGCGAGTGGATCGCCTTTATATCAATAAAATTTGAACGTTTAAAAAACACAATACGCAAAAGCTGTTTCTCCAAGATTTGTCGAAAAACATTTTGTGATTGAGTCTCAGATCAAATAAATTCAATCGAAATTAAAGATTGAATATTGAATTAATTTTGCTACAATTTTTTACATTGGCTGTATTATTCGTAGCATTCATCGACCATCATTGATTACATTACAATTACTCTATGCTGTGTTTCAGATCGATTTCTTTCAGGAACTGATTCAAAAGTGGAATACAATACCGAGTTGCAATAAACATATTTTTTTCACTTTTTCTGAATCTAAAAATTCTATCTAAACATATAACGCGAATACGAAAAGTAAATAGATGAAAAAAATTTATCGTCATGTTTGTTTTTTTTCATCATGTTAACTTTAAATTTTAATCATGTTAACTTAAATCATATCATATATCACTTAAAATTTAATTTTTCATCTTTAATTGTCGTTTCGACTCCTCTTATAATAATCACAGC